TGGCACGGTCACAAGTGGTCCGCGTTACATGGTCATACAAGTAAGTCCTGTTAACGATAAGTACGGGGATGCTTTGATGTTCATTCTCTGCCCTGGATCCGTCCGCCGGCGCTCCTCAGACTGGTCGGGTTAACACAGCTCGCCGCACGCTTGAAAAATATGCCCCCTTCCATTTTGTTCACGCAGCTGTTCACTTTGTTAATCTCAACTTCCTCAGCAGTCAGCCCCTGGAGATTTGATCCAACCACTTGTTAACGATTTTAACGTCATGCAATTCGATCTCATGCTCTGTATATATTGCATGCATCACTACTGTCGAGCTCCTTAGTAGAACCATATATTCAAGCTCCTTTTCGGTGGCCGTGTTACGCCTCCGCGCAAGTCGACTTTGCTCCTAGTTGCGGACTAAAATGACAGGCTATGACAGGCTTTACAACAAAGCTTCCGATGTTAAGTCAACCTAAGAAAGGACCACAAAAGAAAGACAAATCCGAAAGTACCACAATTTATTGTCCTTACGTAGCAAGGCCACCTGTCCAAATATTAAGTCAGTATCTAACAAAAGATATTGTAACGTACTTAATAATTCGGATAGAATGTTGAATGAGACCGAGCGTAGACTACTGGAGAAGTGTTTGATAGTTACTATCAACTAATAAAAGATAAGCGTCGAAGAAGCTATTCCTGCTGTAGAGACCACTTTAACGGCTATTCACGTTAACGGCTGAACATATTCGTTCAGAACGTAGAAAAATTTGATAATTTTAACAGCCGAGGGCGCCGAATCTTGCACCAGAGGAACCTGTCGCATCAACTACCCGAAAAGCTTCGAACATTTTTTTCACAAAAGCCGATGACGGCAAAACCACCGTGATAATGAACAAGTCAGATAATTTGCAAAAAAAGGAGGTGCACCTAGTCACTGTACCATATAAGGTTATCGACAATAATTCCGTCAAGTCGTTGAGGAATAAGAATAGACAGAGGTTGGTAATTACTTAAGGAACCTAAACGAGCATCTAGGACCGGGAAAATGGTACAACACATACACAAAAGCATCTTTTCTAAATCATCTCTTCTAACCGGAAGACACAGAAGCTAAATGTCCCCTTTCAACGTATTGCAAATAGCATAGGTTCCCGGGCGCATGAACCAGCTAGATATTTGGCTAGCAATTTGCAACCCTTGACAGGGCAAACGAAAGCTTACGTAAAGAGCTCATGACTTTGTGAGAAAGGTGTCGGGTCTTGAGGATGAGTCGGATGAAATAATGGTCAGTTTCGAGGATGGCTCGCTTTTTACCAACGTGCCAATACGTGACGCTTTGGAGATAGCTAGACACCGTCTAACTGAGGACAGTAACCTGGGAGAGAGGACGAAGCTTACAGTAGATCAAATAACAGAAGAAATAAAATTGTGCCTTAACATGTCTTGCTTCACTTTCCAAGCTAGGTTATACACTCAGGAACAGGGACTTACCATTGGGATCGCAAATAATCCCCGTACAAGCAAATGTGTACATGGAAGAGTTTGAAAGGAAGGCGCTGAATGACTCTTTTAACTCGCTGAGAAGTTGGTGGCCCTACGTAAATGACAACTTTGTTATCACAAAACTGGATAAGAAAGACGAGTTTCTAAACCGCTTGAGCACACTTGCGCAGAATATAATTTTGGTATGGCTTTAGAATCTGGCAGTGGAACATTGCCATTCTTTAAGTGCTTAGTTCACATGAATGGGGGTAGTCTAAGTACAACCATATATCCTAAGCCGACGGACACAGATGGTGTACTCTACTATAGTTCAGGTCACCCAAAGCATGTGCATGCTGGAATCGCCTCGGCTCTGTTTCACAGAGCTCAGCCCCTGTACACAGAGGAAGAAGATGGGAAGGTCGCCCGGAAAGAAGCAATGAACCAATTGCTTGGCAGTGGATACCCGAGGCGGTTAGTGAAAACCCAGTTGCAGCGGATTTTGATCCCTTAAACACGGCGTACTACCGAGAGGAATGGGACTGTATGTATTCCTTAAAAAATGGAACTTCGGAGGCCATCCAGAAGGTTTTTAATAAAGTAGACATAAAGAAAATTTTCCAGAAAGTCCAAGCGCTCCGCTCTACACTAGTGCACTTGAAAGACACACTTCCCATATATACGACAATTAACTGCGTCGACAAAATTAGCTGCAAAGACTTCGCATATGTTCTTGGAAGATACATGGAACCGATCGAGTAGTCATGAGTTCAGAGAGGTTTGGAAAAAATTGGTTGGTATAATAGTTTGGCGTAAAGTGCTACACCGAGTGGATAGGGACGGTCGGAATTCCGTACAAGGAAGGCACTTCGGAGGCAATTCGGAGGGTACTAAAAGAGGAAAATATAAGGGTATTCTTTCAGCGAGGTCGAACGTTACTTTCGGCGCTGGTACACCTGAAGGACCCCCTTCCCAAGGATAGGACGACTAACTGTGTTTATAAAATTAAATGTAATGACTGTGCACATGTGTACATAAGCCAAACAGCGAGAGAATTACGCACACGAATTTCTGAGCATAGGAGACGCATTGCAAGACTACCAAGAAACCAGTTTGAATAGCAGGCAATAGTAAGAGACTCGGCTGTAGCTGTGCATGCATTAGACACGGGTCATCAGATATACCACGAAAACGTAGAAGTCATTAGGAGGGGCATACGATCAATCACTCAGCGGTAGAAATTTCCAAATCTGACGACTGCGTGAATAAAATGGAGGGGGTAGAACTCCCTAATGCGTGGCGGGCGGTCTTAAGCCAGCCAGCTTGATGAGCATCGGTGCGTGGATCAGATTGGAAAGTGCAAACCGACTCCCATTGTCAACACTATGAGCTTATCCGTCATTGTAATGAAGCAGAAAGGAACCGCTGGACTATTCGCACTGTGATCTTACCACCTAAGGTTACTTCGCCAATTGTTACTGTAATGACATCATGACTCAAGTCTCGGGTAACGCGGTTATCGCCCCTGTTCATTACAAAATCCCACACCAATTGCACACTGATTCACCTGGTCTGACGAAGCGCTCGTGTCGAGGGCGAAACGTTACCAAACTATTATACCAACCGGTTGCTCCCAAACCTCTGTGCGCTGTCAACACGTGTTCGTCGGCCAAACCGCAAGAGACCTACGCGCACGAATAGCAGAACACAAGCGACGAATAACACCGCCACCAAGAAATGAGCTTGCATATATGGTTCTACTAAGGAGCTCGACATTAGTGATGCATGCAATATATACAGAGCATGAGATCGAATTGCATGACGTTAAAATCGTTAACAAGTGGTTGGATCAAATCTCCAGGGGCTGACTGCTGAGGAAGTTGAGATTAACAAAGTGAACAGCTGCGTGAACAAAATGGACGGGGCAGATCTTTCAAGCGTGCGCCGAACTGTGTTAACCCGATCAGTCTGAGGAGCGCCGGCGGACGGATCCAGGGCAGAGAATGAACATCAAAGCATCCCCGTACTTATCGTTAACAGGACTTACTTGTATGACCATGTAACGCGGACCACTTGTGACCGTGCCACGTACTATTTTGAGTGTTGCGTTGACCTGTAACGCGACTGAACTTCTGCCTACATCCCATTCGTCGCGATTATCATCCCATTTCGCTAAAAGTGTTATACCAATCCTCGACAGGTTCACTCATCCTGAGGAAGCTTTTTTGTTAAAAGCGTAACGTTGCCAACAAACTATACCAACCGATTGTTTTTAAAACCTTCTGAGATCGTGAGTTTTTAATAGGTTCAGAGTATTTTGTGATATGATATGTTTAAAATTGTTATTTGGTCCTTTTATTTTTTGAAAATTTCAGCAACCGGAATTGGTTTCATCAGCCCTACGAAACGCAACAGTAGATCATAGTATAAATGCACTCTTGAACATGAGATCCTTTTTATACTTTCATCTATCTGCCTCGTAGGAAGAAATCTTTTGTATGACGATGTTAGTTTTTGCATATGCTGCGATTAACTAACAAAAATTCAAAAGTAGTTCACGTGATATAGATTTTTGATCACCTGTTTCCCACCTGTTGCTTTTCACTCCATCAGGTTTGGCTTTTTGTCATTGACGACTGGTTTTAAGTACGATGTGTTTGTGCATCGTCGAACGCTATCCATGGCACATATTTACAGGTGGAAGTCGATTAGTGGCTGTTAGCATCTTATATGGGCACATGATGCCACTTTTCGAAATGGAAATTACTTTGACTTAAATGCTCGCTCAAATATTTATACTGAAGTTTATGCGGTATTTTCAGCTTTTATCTAATGAGATCCCACGTGTTCAGGCCTATTAGACACTAGTGCTTTTCCAATATTTTATGGCCAAGTACTCTCAACCATCAGTTGGATCCCTTGTTTTTAGGCGAATCGTACCTCTGCAGATCAAGTCGAATTGCGAAAAAGCACTAATATGGCAAAGATAATTACGCGGAACATGTTTCAAATTTAAGATTATGAGCCTGAAATGTAGTAGTATATGAAAATGCATACATGCTGAGATATCAGCTAAGCCACAGGTATTTCCCATTCGCGAGTTTTCACTGTTGCGAATTTGAACAACAGATGAATTCTAGCGCACTCTACCGCGTAAGCAGGACGGACAAACTCCATTAATATGAGCCGGTAGGAGTGTTACCTTTTTCAATCCTATTATTATTTCGCCAAAGAATTACATGTGGATCATGTTTTCAAATTCACATAGCGTATATTTAAAATCGGATTTTTATAAGAAGACCTTGTTTTTATCGCTTAACCAAGAACTTTCAATGTCTTGGTTACAAAGCAGGTGGAGAACCTTTGTACTATCTGCTTATTAAAACGTTGCATCGTCTTTTATACCAATTCATCATGCAACATCTTACGTGTATGTAGCCAATGTTCTTTCACAAACATCTGCATCTTAGTTCACTAAAGTTTCCCTAGCAATTGCTAACCGTTACTTCGTTTATTCTCACTACCTGTAGCATCACCGGTGGGGAGTTGTTTGAACGTATCATTGACGAGTCATTCGACTTGAATGAAGCGAGATGCATACGATTCATGAACGAGATACTCCAAGGAGTGGAATACATTCACACTCAAGGTGTGCTGCATTTAGATTTGAAGGTAACTATTCTAACACCTATTTCATCCATTCATGGCTGCATTCAATTCTTCGTGTAGAAAGCAAAAACTAATTAGTAGAGTAATAAATTCTGTTCATTAAAGAAACGAGCTTCAAGTGGCATCTGATGGATTTGTATATTCCTGATGTTAGAAGCGGAATTAATAAGTGGCCAAAAGAAGGAATATGTAGCTGTAAGGCGAATAGTTCATTTAAGGTCAATAAACCTCAGACCATGAAACACGAGGATGAGGGCCAATGATAGGTAGGATCTGTAAAATTGTTCTTTACAAAATACTACTTCGCTTCGTAGAAAACACTAGCGTACGATGCAACAGTAATAGTGCAATTTAGTACCAGTATCCTCCTTGAAAATGCTGTTCGGTGATGCCTAACTAAATCAGAGTGTGAACCTTTGGACGCATTCAGGGAAGGTTGACGCCATGTTCCTTGGAACATTGAGATATGTGCAAATATCTAAGCCAACGACTCATTGTTAGCAAGTTGAGTATCCAAGTGGGTTCGCAGTGCAACACGCAATCACAATACATAAATACGTTTTTTACGAAAATATGTCCAATGTTACGTTTTCGTTAACCTCAACCTATAAGTCCAGTCCGAAATGGAATGTTAAGTTTCAGCGCTCTACGCAAATTTAAACGTGAATGATAGCTAAATAGTTAATCTAGGTTTTGTTTAGTTGAGAATCTTGCTCATATTTTGCATGGGAAATTTAAAATTGGCATTTTGTGCAAAGTTTTAAGAAAATCAGTGGACCTTGGCTCAACTCGTTTGGAAAGCTATTGTAAGGATATTTTTGAATGAGTGACATATCATTCTTCATTCACTAACTCTCATACTCTTTGCAAGTAAACATTAAATCAACTGGCTTAAAAGTGGAGCCAGTAGAAATGTATGCGTCATTATGCAAATCCATCCACTTTAACGGTCATTAGTGATATGTTTACTGTTTGCAACGCGTTTACACAGTGTTTCAAAGGAATTACATAACAGTGCTGAAGCAGAGCTTTGCTGACCTCGTCTTCAAGGAATCTGGTTTTGCAGCCACGGTTTCTTTCATTTTAACTACCTATATTTTATCCCCAACTACCACCCTGTTCTCGCCTCACATCCCCTTCTGAATGTTCACTTCGCCAAAGCTGATGTAAGGTTTTAAGTCGCTAATAAAACACAGTATATTTATTACCGCGCGTCATTTAAACATGGCGTTTTATGGGCACTCATAATTAACTCTCTGCCTGAACTCGGTCGTACTTGAGAGGCTATCTACTAGTTCGTGATTCCGCGTAAATTGTTGTGCGTAGGAACGAACCAGTAATGTTGATGATGAAATTGATGTGTAGTAGAAACAGTTGAATTTCTCTAGCTAATACAATATAGTCTTATTTTTTACTTGTTATCACAGCAAAGCTATATTACTCTAAGTTGCTTCCTCCATTCGTATCTGCATTGTGCACTACGACTTCGGTCAAGCTCTGTCGGCCCACTTTATCAAAACAGTTATAGCAAAGCCTAATTAACTGAAATGCAATTACTTCGAGAATCAAATTTCTCGGTCCTTAAGATTTATTTTTAACTCATATTTTATCATTACAATCACATCGCTTTTATGCAAAAGTTGCTGGCATCATGGTACACTTATTTCGCTGTTTTTTCTGTAGAACTATCGCCATCTACTGAGTCACTTGTGTGGAACGCAGAGAACTGCACTCTTTCTTTTTCCAGTGTAGTCTTGTACGGTGTTTCAAATTTTTTAACTGCCCATGGTAATCTTTCAGTCATTCTGTGACTTTGCTTTGCCTGATTATCTACCTAACAGCCGGAAAACATCTTGTGCTTATCCAGGACCAGCTTTAAGACAAAAATCATTGATTTTGGCTTGGCACGATTTTACGATGGAAAAGAATTATGCGTGTTATTTGGAACACCGGAGTTTGTCTCTCCTGAGGTCATTTCCTACGAACCCGTAACCCCAGCTGCAGACATGTGGTCGCTGGGTGTGATATGTTACGTCATGTAAGTCGCCGAACCTTATTATGGATACGCCTTTCTAATTCAACTACTGGTGACCTTCATAAGTTTAGGTTGGCAATACTACGCGCCTAGGCGTTAATAGCTCTATTATAAAAAGCTAAGACTTATCTACCCCGTCTGTCAGTATGATGGTTTTACAGGGACTCTACGAGGGCGATGTAGTTGGCGATGACTTTGGTAACGTAAGCCGAGATCGACGGTTAGGAAAAAATGGCCATTCTAGTGGAGACAAAGCTTTAGTCTCTATTCATTTTCTCCAAATGCAGCAGACGTACATTTTTAGTAAAAATGACATTTGTACAACATCTACAAAATGCAAATATAAACATGTAAGTTAATTTGATAGTTAGAAACAGGTAGGCTTAAAGAAAATTAGTTAAACTAGCAAACGACGCTGCGTATATGGACTTTAATTTAGGGCGACTAGAAAGCGAATTTTTTGGATCACGCTTACCGCTTTTGATATCGCAATTAGTTTTAATTAAAGCATTGTTAAATTAGTACTTGATCAAGCTGCACATGACGTCACTAGTTTGCGCGCCATCATAAATCCATTTATACTCTTTCGCTCCCACTCTCTGTCACAATCTCAGGTTGTCTGGATTGTCGCCCTTCATGGGCGATAGTCAAAGTGAAACTCTGTCAAACATACTGAGGGTGACGTACGATTTCAATTATCCAGAGTTTGACGACATTTCGGATTATGCCAAAAATTTTATCCGCAAACTTCTAGTAAGGGATCCTCGGTATGTCCAAATAGGAATATTCAAACATTTATTTTTTCTGGGTACACTTGACAATTGACCATGCCAATAGATTATCGTCACATCTTTGAAAGGAGAAAAAAGTTGCTTTGAACCAAAGAATTTAATCATGGTTTTGTACTGTATTTCTGCCATATTTGGGTTACATGTAGATCCGATAGGTTGTATAATACAAAGCAAAGTTACTTTTCCCGCGGAATGCAACACAACAGATAAAATGAGAGAGAAAGCACACCGCGTGCAGATGTAAGAATTTATTAGTACAGATTTCAAACATAACCGACGCATCGGAAAGCTACGAAGTACCAAATGGTATTGATGTTATGTGTAGTTTGTCTAATGCGTCATATTACTAGGGATTGCCTACGTGAACCACGTGAAAAGAAGGCAAAGCGAGGAGAGTAGTATGGTGTCGGCTAGGTACAATTCGTGGGCGCCACTACATTTTCAATCATCCGAGGACTGAGCATATTTGAAGAAAATGGATAAAAACATGAACTGACTACTCAGCAGTTTTGGATCCTTAAGCATATAAGAAAAATCTATTTGTCTTAGCTACCGATGGAACGGAAATTACACTGGGTGCAGTGTAGTTGTCATGTATGAGCAGACAAACCACTTGAGGCTGGGCCAAACCACTTGAGGCTGGTGGTATACTTCGCCCTTCAAGGCCAACCTCGTCCGACCAGAGGCGTTATAATCTCGTGATCTTTCACGCAACGGAGTCCAGTGATCCATCACCCCAAATGCGCTACGATCACGATGTCGAGTGTAACAGGGTCGAATTGATGGACTCCGCTACGCTGGTGAGGACTCGGTCAAAGTGAGGCAGATTATCTGTTTTGGAAAGCAAGATGATCAACAAAATCGGCCTATGAGAATCACTTTTGTGGACGAAGCCAGTCCAAGACGTATCATGTCTCGCCTAAGTAGGCTGAAAGGTTTGGATATCCATGTTCGTCACGACCTGGACCCAGTAGACAGGGAGCGGCTCAAGTCTGCCATCATTGAGCTGAAAAGATGCACTGGTGAGGGAGAAACAAATCTTCGTATCGTGAATTTTCCGGTGGTTTCTAAAAATCCGCGAATCAGGATAAATATGCTGCTCACACTTCAAGCACGCCCGGTAGCTCCTGCTGCGGCCTGCGAGTAGCCTTCACAAACGTTTGCAGTATTATGAATAAGCGCGATGAGCTTTGTTATTTCGTTGCGTCTGAGCGGCCAGACGTAGTGGGACTCGCAGAGACATGGATGCATACAGTGTTATACACCCAAGAAATTGAACTCAACGGTTACTCGTGTTTCCGATGCGATAGACTAAAGAATGCCCACGGTGGTGTCTTACTTTACATCTGGTCTTCCCTGCGTGGGAGACTTGTGAGCACCTACCGAACTGACGATGATCTGTGTGAGCTACTGTGGTGCTCCATCCGCCTCAGGCACGGAGAACTGCTTGTGGGCGCAGTTTATCGTAGCCCCCTGAGTTGTTGTTTGGATTGGCTGCCCCATCTTCGGACCCACATGAGTCGTCCACACTTTCTGCTTATGGGCGATTTTAACTGTCCTCGAATACGATGGCCTGATGTGCATTTGATGCCTGGACATAGTGAGGTTGAAGCAAAGTTCGTGGATTTGGTACTTGAAACTGGTGCATCGCAACACATATGCCAGCCAACACGCATAACGACACGTTCAAACCCGTCCTGTCTCGACCTGATGTTAACGAGCTACGAACAACGAGTGCGTGACGTTAGGATCCTGGAGCCCCTGGCTACGAGCGACCACTCAGTACTGATAGCTGATATGGAATTATCTTTGCCGTATTCACATCCGCTGCAGCCAGCTCCCAACTACTGGAAAACGGACTTCGACGGTCTAGCGCGAGCCGCGAACCAACTGGATTGGTCTCTGTCACAAGCTGCATCTGTGGAAGATTGTTGGATATTTATAAAAGAGAGATTGACATCATTGTGTTCCCAATTTGTGCCATTGCAATGTCAAAAGGTTGGAACGATTATGCCTCATTGGTTTGACAAGAAGTATGGAAAGCTGGCTGGGAAGCGGCGCAGACTGTGGGACAAATTCCTCCTCTCTGGCTCTGCCAATGATTACGTAGGGTATAAATGTCAGCGGAATTTCTGCAACAGTACAAAAAAGAATAAACGCTGACACTTTGAAGAGCAGCTCGTATTAACCGCGAAGACCGCCCCAAAGATTATCTTTGCATACGTGAAGCGACGCCTGAAGCCGGCAGATGATGTGCCAGTGCTGGATGGCCCGGATGGACAGCCCCTAACCTCCAGCACTGAGCGTACGTCCGCGTTGGCGGCGCACTTCGCTTCTGTAGTTCCGAATAACCAGGTGTCTGTTCCGAGTTCGACGTATACCGCTTTTACCCAACTCGATAGTCTGCAGTGCGGCGTTTAAGAGGTAGCTCAACTACACGCCAACCTTGACGGCACCAAACCCGCCGGACCTGATGGTCTTCACCCACTGCTTCTCAAGTCACTTTCATCCATCCTCTCTCCTGTCGTGACTGACCTTATCAACAGGTCGCTCTCCGAAGGTTTGTTGCCGGTTGACTGGAAATGTTCGGTGGTGAAGCCTATTCCGAAAGGCGGCGACCCTAGCAAAGTAGACAATTACAAGCCAATTTGTCTGACACCTATTTTGCAAAGGTTGCTGAGAAAATCGTGAGGAAGGGATTGCTGCAGTTGCTACAGTCAAACGAGGTCCTGATGCCCGCACAGCACGGTTTTATGCAAGGTCGCTCATGCATTACGAACCTGCTTGTGACGAGGCATGAGTGATTGAAGGCAATAAGCAAGGGGAAGTCTGTCGACGTGATATTCGTCGATTTCAGTAAAGCATTCGACAAGGTCAGTCCTGAGGTTCTCCTTCACAAACTCAGCATGTGTGGTATCGGTGGCTCACTGCACCGGTGGATCCGAGACTTTCTTGTTGGACGAAAGTGGAGGATACAGGTGGACGACCATCTAACTGACTGGTACCCCTCTACAAGTGACGTGCCTCAAGGCATTGTGCTGGGGCCCACTCTGTTCCTGATCCACATCAACGATCTACCGCAGCTTCTCCGGTCGCCGTGTGCCTTGTTTGCGGACGACATGAAGATTTGGAGAGAAATCGATGCTCCGGATGACTGTGGCCTACTTTAACAAGATCTCAACCGCCTATCCACATGGTCTGCATAAGTTCTTCTCCCGGTCACCCCACCCAAGTCTGTATTTATGAACCTGGGGAAGAGTGCTAACGGCCGAACCTGCACCCTTGACGACCAAACGTTATATCCCACACCTTCTGTGAAGGACCTATGTGTATTTTCGCGCTACCATTTGAAGTCCGTGGACAACACGATCAGGCTATATCTTAACGGACTGTGCACGCTTTGGGCGCTCAAACGTCGCTTCCGCACATGGTCTGAAGAGGTTGCCACTAGCCTGTTCTCTTCTATCAGTAGACCAATGCTAAAGTACGGTTCGTCGCCTACTTTCCGATTACCCGAGGCGCGGCACAAATGATCGAACGGGTCCAGCACGTTCCCGCCAGGCTGATCCTGAGTTTACCTAGCTTTGGGTATGAAGACCGGTGCGAGAAACTAGGACTATACACCTTGTCCTACCGTCGGGTGCGAGTCGACCTCATTTTGACCTATCGTATTCTACATCTCGGTGACTTCCCAATGCTAAGACCAATGCTGCACTTACGAGGACCATACAGCACACGCAGACACAGACACAAACTTGTCGTGCTGGATGTGAAACATCTTCCCCACCAACTGTGCTTCGAACGGAGAGTGGTAAACATTTGGAACAGTTTGCCTGAACATGTGATTGAGGCAACATCTGTGCAACAGTTCAAAACGTTGTTAGCTTTGTATTTTGCCACTATTTGATTCAGAGAACAACTGCACACTTACGATGACATATCATATTTGTGAATCCTGAAATATCGTAAGTCGAATATTTTAAATATTACATGAGAACGACAAGGATATTCACGGTTGACAACTTTTATAACGTTTTTCACCAAATTTCGAAAGGGTTGTACAGAATCCATTTCTACTTGCTCTATAATACAGTATTCAGTATTCAGTATTCAGACAATAGAAGATGATCCGCATTGAAGAGACCCGTTGTTCACAATAGCTACGTTTTTCTTATTTCTAACTTTACATCTAGCAGCTTCCTACAATCGGTAGATACTCTACAAATTGTTACCTATTTAAAACGTGTGGGATTGTTAAAATTGAACCTTGTGTTGTGAAAGTTTACTTGCTTGATGATGCTTATTTTACACCTTTTATTACAAATTCCTTTTTAGCAAGCGTTTAACCGCGTCTGAGTGCCTACAGGATCCATGGATTAAAGTAAGATAACTGATTAATTCAATTGGAAAATACTCCTTAATTATTGAATTATCTGTAGTCTGGTGAGCCTGCAAATTTTCCATAATCTGCAGGTATACGTTACCTATGGTGTCGTAAGCAATATCCCGGCATGAATAGAATGAACATCAGGAATTATTGATTGCTTATAATGGATTGTAAAGGCCTATGCTTACCTAACACTACAAATATATGAAATGAGTTAAACAAAATGGCTATGCACCCAATTCAGTAAATTATCCATCAAGCAGTTAAAAAAAGCATAAAAGAAGTAATCACTGCCGTCCATTCTAGATAAGCGCGTTGAAAGTAGCGCTTCTTTTCTCTGTTGTGTACAGAATGTTTCATAGTGAGCATTATATTTAGGCTTTTATTTGTGGTCACATTTTTAACTGTTAAGCTGCGCTTGTATTGTCTGCTTCCCATTCCAAAATTAGACACTAACTACCTGAAAAACCGAAGCTAGTAACCAAGACACGTGCACACCTGCCCGGCATTTAAAAAGAAAATACCTCAATATTACGCAGGTGGACGATAATGAATTTCCCAAATGTTATTTTCAACTAAGTGATTAGCAAGCAATTTATATTTAGACTGCTTGGTTTGGAACAAGGCGTTAGCGAGCTTGCATTGACTAATACAAATCATTGTAAGCGTTTAAATGTCTCTGTCTCTACCATAGTGAACAACACATAGCAGAAAAAATGTCTGTAAACAAGTAGCATTTAACTTTATCTAAAACGCAGTAGCGAAGTCCTATTTATACAATATATCAATGGTTGAAGTGAGCTGTTCAATTTCCCTACCCGATTGAAAGATAGGTTGATAAATATTATAGTTCCGATTTTACCGAAAACTTTGAATACAAACTATTTCAGTGAGCTTCCTGACTAACGTCCCATAAACTCTTTTGGGCTGGCAAATAAATATATTTCAAAATGGATACATATCACGTCGATTTTTTTTCTCTAATTTAATTTCAATCAGCGTAAGAAAAATCTGAAACGCAAAGGAACCGTGAGCAAAAAAAGCCTAAAACACTTTGTGTACAGAAGGAAGTGGCAGGTTAGTGAGACTTTGTTTATCCCTTAACTGTGCCCGAAATCTTTTGGCTCATTTAAAGACGATGCATTAGGTAAAATCGTTTATATTGGGAGGCTTTGTGCGGGAAGCGTGTTTCGTATGAAGTCTATACCCAGTGAATTATTCCATAACTACCACAACTAGAAAGCTGTGTGAGTTAGAAGTCCAAAAGTGAAACACCAAATAGATTTCTCCTGCCAAAAGTCAACACGAAACACTGTACAACAAAAATATATATCTTCTATAACAGAAATGCCAATGACCCTACAATATAGAATACACTCCACTGATCATTCTATTCGGATGTTACCTAGTCATGTTACATAGTTATAAGCAAATGATTATTTTCAGTAACATCAGCATTACGTCGTACGAAGTACATGTGAATATACGGAATCACAACATATAGGGAATGCATCTACGTGTTAAAAACGGTTAAAACATCACTGCACACTCGCTGCTAACTACTGCCTAGCTCTTGACACTTGGAAATGATGAGTTCGCTGAGATGGTCTCTTGTATGACCCAGTGCCCTCACGCAGCAGAAACCATCGAACTTCACCCATCCTAGAAGGTGTGTACTTGCCAAAATAACGCTGTTGCATGCAGGCGCTCACCATGCTCATGGCTAACAGATCTCAAGTTTCAGGTAAACAGTCTAGGTGATTAAGCAAAGTGTGAATCTTGAGTGATATTCGAGCACGAACAACCTGATAGTCCGCAATGAGCATTTTCGTGATGTCTTTGTTGTTGTCTGTCTTTGTTCCGCCAAAAAGCCTGCGTACACTGCCTTGAATGATCGTCACGCTTCTAAATCCAATGAAGTCAACTGACATTCTAAAGCAATGTCTGCCATTATCCGGCGAATATCAAGCCCAATAAATATCCTTTATTTGAGCTTCGCATCACTAAGCTTCGGAAACAATTGTCTCTGTTACTGAAACAAAAATCCATCTCACTTGAGGAATTTGACCATGCATTTAATCAAACCAAGCTTGATGTGCAGGGATGGCACATAGGTGTGATCAGATTGCACATGAGGCGTATGCTTTGCACTCATTTTCCCTGTAAAATACTCCATCCTCTCTGGCTACTTTTTGTTCGTGTAGAGCTGTTGAGTTGCTCTACTGTCCCATAAACACATGACGCAGCAATATTTTATGATACCTACTTGCATACGCATTAGGTGTCTAATGACTTTAAACACAGCACGAAAGTTCCAACGGTACCTATTGTAGTTCAGTGCAGCGAGTATCCGTTGCATTGTTTCGAAGTATCCTTCATATTGGTGGAATGCAACACAGGCACATTTAGGTGCACGTTTCCATTGTGGAGCAGTGTGGCCTTAAGACGACCATTGGACGAGTGAATGAACGAACGCCATACATCACTGATATGCCTCGCATCAAGCCATTGCATTATTACTTCCACTTCTGCAAAGTAACTTAAGGATTCTTTTGTGTCATGGAAAGCGGGACATTTAAAAATTGCTTGCCAGATAAACTAAGGTTAATATTTTCAGCGAGTAATTTCATCACTGCAGCCAATATGCCAACAACTCAGCCTTGCTTTTACGCAAGCCCGGGTCACCTACGAAGTCATTTCGCTCTGATTTATTAATAATACGGGAGCCGACATAATTAGCTTCACAGTTTGCACAGATGTTAGAACCAGCTGAAGTGGACAGCGCAGGATCACTAGTCATCATCAATGACATGTGCACTGGAGGCACTAAAATGGATAGAATGTTGTCATGAGTGACAAGTCGAATAGCAGATGGAAGTTTGAGGTAATGAATTTTCCTTGTTTCGCTTGAAGATTCCAATGTGCTGGTTAAGTAGACGCAGCAGTCTGTCATGTGATCATCCGGCTGCCTCCACACCATGGGGATTTCAAAAGACATCTTGCCTTTGCCTTTAAACCTCTGAGTCAGATGAAGGTTGCACTGCACACAAACAATACGCCGCGCCAATTCTTATCCTGACCTCCCAGGTTCATCCAGAAGTATGCGTGGTTGACAGGCCTCAGTAGTGAAGAAACCGGTCTGCATTGCGCCTTTGTAGAAAACTGTCCCCAGAAGTATCAGAAATAATTTCGGTCATGGACGCAGCAGCGTCTTTCAGCCATGCTCAAGGTATCAAGTAAGGAAACACAGTTCTCAATAGAGTTTCAGCATCAGGCGGATATCACGGCTTTTTCGTGATTGCAGGGAGAAATAGACCAATTAAAGACGAGCATTTAGTGCATGGAAAGTGTTGCTGATCTGAAATGAACGATGGAAATTTCACTAACCAGACGTGATGGAATCATTTTGTTTGCATATTCGTAATCAGCTCAGTTGGTACTATAAGAAACATCCTATCCCATTTCTTGGATAAAGAAGTTGTCGCGCTGTGTAATTGGCATTTGACAGTTGATTTCTTTCATTTTAACCTTTCTACTCTGGTCACTAGGGAAGCCTATGGTGACATCGGCGTTGTTTTTTATCATTTCCGAAAGTAACATATTTTCCCAACTTATTTCCCTATTCATTTCTTTGTTGCCTTGACTTGATCGATGTCCTGAGTTGATTGACTGGAGCTTCCAAGCATATAGGTAAATCACTGCAATGTCTATTCCATCGACTGACATATAAAAGAGCCAAAAGATGTTTGGAGATGGATGATTTGAGTGCCTGTATTTTATACATGTTTGCTAGCCCCCAAGATGCAAATTATGGTGATGGTTTACTTTCTTTTAAATCATCCCAACACACTGTCAGATATGGCAGGGAAATGCATGGAAACATGTTCATAATAATTGACTTGGATATTTGGTTATATATGAATTTACAGAAGAGAAGTAGGCGGAGTTGAATGGTATAGGTAGAAATTCGTCTCATCTAGGCTCAATTAAAAAGCCGTCCTAAATCAGGAAAAGCACTGAACGCGCGTTCCATCCTATCGGGAAGACAGATACTTCGTTCATTGTGAAGTGACGAGTGAGTGAGCCAATCTGCAACTCCAGGAGAGATACCGTGACCTTATTGGCATTACGTCGCGAACCAAGCAGAAATCATGTATTGAATTGCGCGCCTAATTGTCAGTCCTAGGTAGATGAGTAAGTAGAGTAGCGGACCGGTAATCCGTACGTCCGTGGTTCGCTTCCCCTAGAGGCAGACAACTTTGCAAAGTTTAATCGCAACTTCGGACCATGGGAGGGCTCGAACCCGCAACTCGACTGTAAATAAGTCCGTTGTTGAGACCACTGAGCTATGAGGAATGGCAACGACTATCGTGAATAAGTTACTAGATGTGATATAGCACCGCTCACTATCTACTGACTTACATGTTACTGCCGTGCGGAGGACAGGGCAACCCCCTCATAGAACGACAAGGTTACAAAATTTAAGCTGCCAATAAACTTATGACATTGCAAGCAGTTTGGTCTGCGTTTTGTTTACAGAGGAGTAGTAGGGGAGTTGAAGTGTATAGGTATAAATTCGTCACATGCGCACTGCTGACGCTTGGTAAGGGGGCTACCTGTCCTCTGCACGGCAGTGATTGTAAGTCAGCGGATAGTGAGCGGCGCTATACCATATCTAGTAAATTACTTGCGATGGTCGTTGCCGTCCCCCGTAGCTCAGTGGTCTCAACCACGGACTGGAGACAGTCGCGTTGTGGGTTCGAGCTCTTCCAGAGTCGGATTGAATGCGTATTGCTGATGATTCCTGAAAGGATGAAACGCGCGTACAGTGCTTTTCCACGCGTGTGACGGCTGTCTAGATGAGTCTCGATGTGATGAATTTCTACCTGTATATGAATTTATTGATAATGCTAGTCTTCCAGTTTTCGTGGTATAGTTAACTTACTTTTAAATGTTGTATTAAAACTCTCACGATGTAAAGGAAAACTAAGTACAGACGCGAACTCGCTGTACATATTGTTCACTGGATTGTGAACTACCGATAAAACGCAACCCCAACTGTAACACTTTAAGTCGGATAAGGCAAGATAGCAGCGCATTGGGTAGGAAATATTAGGTATTGTAATAACCAGTGGCAAAACTTGCATATTCTCGACGTACGTATAATTTCGTTGCATTGGATCGATGAGTCACTGCTGCAGTCCCAGTTGCGTGACATCGCTGCATACTCGGATTAAAACATACGTATGTTTTCCGGGAGTGTATTTATGACAGGGTATACTGGTTATGCGTGTAGCAGCTGTTGAACGGATCGCTTGGATTAGCTTATTTCTTACATCGTATTAATGTATCGCCTGTCACACCAAGCGTTCGACTAGATTATCAACTTCTGGGTTCCAAATAAGCATGTCGGTTTATCATGTCTTATGCAGTTTGGAAAATTATTGGACCTCTCAATTTGTATGCTGTAAAGATTTTGTATAACTTTGAGATTAAAATATCTACACGTTAACTAGGTAGGGTCTACAAGATGTTTCCTGATTCCTTTTCTGCTGATTCGTCCCTTTATGCAGATATTCATAAACAGAACTGCTATTTTGGGAGCTTGCATAATGTCAGTACGTTCCATTGGATTTTCTGCTTAACAGCGATAGGGCATTAACTGATTAAACGAGCAAATGGTTTTCCGTCTTCCGTGCTAGTATTCTGTGCACTACATTTCGGTAGAAATTTGAAACCAGGAAGTCACTGTGAAGTAACCGCTTGTATAGTACTTCTTCTTAACCACCCAATTAGTGTATTATAAAGATACTTTGCGATGATAGATTTGTACAGCCACTGACACACATAGAACAAATTGTAACCTGGGCAGAGTGATTCGTTATGTCGCACCACTGAATTAACTTTGTTCATGTTTTCAGCTGGTATTCCAAAAATGGCTTAATGAAGCCGGTTCTTAAGTCTCGGTGCAGGATAGGGGCCTACACTTGCGTGACTAGTTTCATTTTGCTTTAATCTAATCACTCGGTAGCGATCCGTGCACATTGTTTTCCTCTAGGTTAATTAAAACAGAGAGC